GCCGGTTACGACGCCCATTTATTCATAAAAAATCTAGGCGTCTCTGATGGACCAATAAATTGCATTCCAAATAACGAAGAGAAATACATCTCATTCAATAAATTGATAAAAATAGGTGAGTTCGAAAAAGATGGTAAAACMTTTGAAATTAAAAGAGAAATCAGATTCATCGACTCTTTCAAATTCATGGCGGCCGGGCTGGACAGGCTGGTGGGAAATCTAAAAAATGAGAATTTCAAAAATAATATACAAATTAGGTAACACCTAATAGCGGAGCTCCGACTATATTATCGAGTAGAGTAGAGTCGAGTCGAGTCGAGTAGAGTAGAGTACTAACAAACATGAAATATCAACTGATTTGAAGTTCACCATTTATAAATGCATAGATTTATTGGTTCCCTGGTCCCCCCTGAGGTATTTTACAGACCTCAGGTATTACCTGAATGGCTTATTCTTTGCCATTCAGAGGGTTTCATCGAGTGACCAGCTCGACTCATTGTTGCCAGGATTTTTCAAATATTATGCATTCTATAAACCATTAGTTACATTTAAGGTTTGTAAAGATTTTAATCACATAGATTAAAATCGACATTCATTTTAGCCGCAAGGGGCCATATAAACTTTATCATCCTTTTTTAAATAAGTTGTATTCATCTATTTTTTGAAAAAAATAGATTTTAACCACATAGGTTGAAATCAGCATATTTTTGTGTCAATTTTTTTACAGAGCAATTTTGTATAAAAGTAGATGCGTATTATATGTAATCAATAAGGACTATCCAATTTTGCATTCATCAGGCAAATTACTGCATAAAAAAAATCCACAAAACATTGCTCGTTTAAACCACAAAGGTTTAATTCAAAGAAAATATATACAAAATGTAGCTAGGGTTGCTGTGATGGAATGAATTTTAAAAATCCAAGGTTTCACTGTACTACAGCATYGTCAGGAAATACTGCATGAGAAGAAGAATATCGTAGACCAATAAGTTAGAGTGCATCATATAACAAGACTTTTAATTTTCTACTATATTCTTTGTGTGAGTTTATAACTGTTGGTTTCATTGATTTAAGTTAAAGTGGATGATTCAAACGTTAAAGTGAACGTCCTATGGGCATAAAGTCAAATTAGTCAAGTCAATATAACAAGTCTTTAAATTCTCTACATTCTTTACATGAGTTTATGGTTGGTTTCATTGATTTATTCCATCACAGAAGCCCTGCCAACATTATATATTTTCTTAATCATAATTTGCTTGTTAATAATCCAGAGAGTGTAACCACATAGGTTACAACTGATGCATGTTACATAGACTACTTATTAAAGTGCACCTAACCCTCTATTTGGAGTGATTTTCATATAATTCTAGAAAAAAAATCAGTTTGGATAAATCCCTGATTTTTGAAGACTCTCCAAAGTAGCCAATAAAAGCCTCAATTTTGCAGAAGTGCTTAAAGTTATGTCTAGAATATTTTATATGAAAATTACTCTAAATAGGGGGTTAGGTGCACTTTAACAGCATACATCTATATTTGAATGATCATTCTGATGCATTATTTTGTGGGGCAATGTGTGCAACATGTAGATCCACAAAGGCTAATCAGCTGTTCTATTACATGTACAGTAGATCACATTGTTTGATGCATCATATCCATTATCAGTGAGTTTGTTTAGCTAACTGCTCTGGACTGAGCCCAATTGAGAAGCCTTTCAAAGGTCAATTCTTCATATGCTCTTGCTAAACTTTCTCTGCCTCGGCATTCTACTGACAACCTACGCAGCCTTTCTATCTCTGCTGCTCGAGAACGTGTTGTTGGCGTGTTCACTTCACGAAACCTGTCTTCGTTTATCAAAACGTCTTGATGAAAAGCGAAGTCGGGATCCCTGTCCGGTCCACCAGCTGACTTTGCTCTAGACAATGCAACAAACAGTGCTCCAGGATTCTTCGCTTCAAACGCATGGTTACCAGGATGTATAACAACATATCTAAATGCTTCTCCTTCACCAACTGTCATTCCTTGGCATTTGTGGATTGTCGTTCCCCAAGCAAGTCTTAGTGGAATCTGAATACGCTTGCATCTACATGCACATTCAATTGATCTACTAATTGGTACAATTGGTACAATGGTTGGATGATCGTCATTAAAGGCTGGTCCTCTGTATCCATTAAAACGCACTAACACAACATCTGGTTGTGGTTGGGGATCATCAGTTGGCCGTCTACCATTAAGATAAATAACATTCACAACTGTGCCAACTGCTCCATTGTACAAACCCCACTCAGCCTTCAGGTTTGCCACAAGCATGACC